GAATTCAATTTCAACCTTGTACAAGTATAGTTAGAGTTTTTAGTATTAGTGTTTATGCTATTATTGAAAATTAGTTATTTTTAAATCTATAAATTTGTAATTAGTAACTTGATTTTATAGATTTAATGCTTAACTGTGTATTAATTTATAATAATTTATATCTTTTTTCTTCTCATATGACAATAATGGGGACATTAAGAATTCACCATAGTGGCACTTTTTGCATGAGTCATAATGGGGATCTTAGGTATGCTGGAGGTGAAGTTCATGATGAGGATATTGAATATCATCGTATAATTTTGTTGTATTTAGAGGAGAGGGTAAAAGGCCTTGGATACATGCATTTTAAGGACATCTATTACAAAGATCCTTATGTTGAAAAATTTGGTGAAGCATTAAAGGTTATAAATAGTATGTAGGAGCTTATTCACATGCGGTATCTTTTAAATGAAAGGGGAATTATAGATGTGTACATTGAACATGTGTGTGATGAGCCAAACACTTTAGAATTGCTTAAAGGTGGCACCGTTCCACATGAAGCAGTTGATGAAGGTATAATGCATTTTTCTAGAAGTGATGAAGACATTAGGGAAGGCTGTGTGACACAAAATTCACAACCAACCCCAACTTGTAATGAAGCTCTAGAAACAACTGAAGGTGATGTTGATAAAACATATGCAGTGCATGGAGGTGATGCAAGCCAACAACAAGATCCAGAGCATAATGATCATGATGATGAGGACTTCCTTGATAATGTGCATAGTGATGTAGATGATGAGGAGGTGCTTGAATGTATTAGAAATAAAAAGAAACATAAAACTAGTACAAAAAAAAAAATGCAGATGGTGCTAGACCAAGTGGCACAGTCCATGAGACCTATACCACAATTAATGAAGAGGGTGAAAGGGTTCTTGTAGGAATTGATAGCCATGGAGATTTGGGTTTTGATTCTAGCTTTGAAAACAATGAAGATGAATTTGAGGTTTCTAGTGAGGATTCAGGTGACTACACTATTATGGATGAAGATGAACTTGAAGAAGAAAAAGGAGATGTAAAAACTACTAGAAATGGTGATTTATGGTTTAATCCTTCATGGGCTGATGTTTGGTTTGAGGTAGGGATGAAGGTTGAGCATGTAGCACAGTTTAAGAAGGCTATAGTTAAGTACCAAATTCAAAAAGGTTGTAGGTTGAAACCTGTTAAAAGTGACCCCACTAGGCAGAGAATTTACTATGTTGATCGACTGTACAATTGGCAAATCTTTGCCAGTTTTGATAAAAATGACCAAATTTTTAAAGTGAAGACATATTACAGGCAACACACTTGCTTTAGGAGTTTGAAGTCTAACATGGTTGGGTCAAGGGTACTAGTAGAACACCATAGGAATAGAATTTTTGCAAATCTGCAGATTAGAATTAGTGAGTTAGTGAGATTTTCTCATTTAGAATTAGGAGTTCATGTTTCAAGAGATAAGTGTAAACTAGCAAAGAATAAGATTATGAAGGAAGTGAAGGAAACTCATGTGAATGAATTTACTTAGTTAAGAAGGTATGCAGAAGAGTTGTTGAGATTGTCCGCGGAGTCAACTGTTAAAATTTATACTAAGCCACCCACAACTCCAGAGGGAAAACTTGTGTTTAGAGGAATTTATGTGTGTCTAGAATGATGTAGGAAAGGTTTTCTACTAAGTTGTAGACTAGTGATTGGACTAGATGCTTGTTTTCTCAAGGAGATGTTCAAAAGAACTCTTTTGGCAGTTGTTGCAAGGGATGGGAACAATCAAATGTTCCCAATAGCTTGGGCTGTTGTTGATTCAAAGTGTACCAACTCATGGACCTTTTTTTAAAGATGTCTATCTGATAATCTATCAAATCACGCTGGGCAAGAGTTAACATTCATTTCAGACCAACATCCTGTAAGTGTGCACCATTTATTATGAATAAATTTACAAAAATGTTTATGTTTATGTTACAATAGTCATCAATATTATTTTTGTATAATTCAATTGACCTTATTATCAGTTACTAACTTTATTTGTTTTCTTTAAACACAATTTAGTAAGGGTTGATTATTACAAGACAAATAGTTTTTCCCGAGACCAGGCATAGATTGTGTGCCAGGTATTTATATGCTAATTGGCAAAAAATTTTCAGAGGGAAACTATTGAAGAGAAGATTTTGGATTGCTGCAAGGTCAACGTATGAAGGTTAATTCAACCAAAACATGGAGGAGATAAAAAATTTAACTGTGGAAGGTCATGATGCCTTAACATCAATCCCACCGGAGCTGTGGTGCAAGGCCTTCTTTGACACATCGTGCAAATGTGATGTGGTGAGTAATAACATGAATGAGACCTTCAACAATTGGATAATGGATGCTAGGTATATGCCAATCATCCAATTGTTAAAATGTATAAGGGTTAAGGTGATGGTTAGGATGGCTAAGAATAAAGAAGAAGTTAGCAAATGGAGAGGAGATATAGTGCCCATAATTAGGAAAAAATTAGAAGCACATAAGATTGAAGCAAGCAAATGCAGATGCGAATGGAATGGCATGACCCATTATGATGTTTGGCATTGGAATGACAAATTTGTTGTGGACTTGGTTGGGAAACAATGTAGCTGTAGAGCATGGGATTTAACAGGAATTCCATGTCCCCATGCATTATCTGCAATTGGTTTAGGTAACTTCGACCCGGATGAATTTGTATCAATTTGGTACAAAAGGGTTAAGTATGAACGTGCATACAATGTACCAATCATGCTTTGTAATGGTGAGAAATTCTAGGAAAATTATTATGGGGAACCACTAGAACCACTGCCATTTAGATCCAACTCGAGTAGTCCTAAGGTGAATAGGAGGAAGAGTGATAATGAAACTAGAAAGGTGAAGGTGGGAGAGCTAGAAAAGATGACAAAGGAAGGTGGACAAATCAAATGCTCACTTTGTAAGCAGCCTGGACACAACAAGAGGGGATGCCCCAAAATGCCAATCGAAAGTGAAATAAGTTAATTACTTACACCTGCTTTATTGTCAACAAATTATACTATAATGACATTTATTTTTCATACTCAATAGGAAGCATCAGCAAGCACTCGCCAACCAATACCGAGAAAACCTCTAACTTGCGGATATTGTAAGCAGCCTGGTCACACCAAGACAACATGTGCTGCTAGATATTTTGTTGATGAAAATGTAAGTTTATTGAGTGGTAATTGCTTAGGATCTATGATTTCTTATTGATAGTGCTTGATTGCTTTATTGTTAATTATATGTGGCTATTCTTACTGTTGTTTTTGTATTATGCAATTTGGTCAATTTGATGGACTAGGAAGAAAGAAGAAGCACAGATTTGGTGAATACATTAATTCACCAAAATTGAACCTTGTGAGTTTAAGCTTAACATTCAATTTTGATGCGAATTATGTTGATAATTTATTTACGAAAATTGCTGTTCATTTCTACAGCAAGGTCTACAAAGGGAGACTACTATGAGACATACCCACCCTAGCCAATTTCATAAGGCACAGCCACCTTGGAAATCAACCAAGAAGAAGGGATCAAGTGAAGCTTGAGGAATGGTTTTTTTTTATTTTTTGGTTTGTTGCTTGGGAGTAGAGAACATGGGTTTATGGTTGCAGAAGGTGTTTTTGGTAGGTAATATGTGAATGCAGTAAATGCAAGGAAACAAAGTGAATCATATGGTGTTGTATCTACTTTGGTAGGATCTGTATGAGTGGGTTTTTTTTTTTTTTTTTTTTTTTTTTGGTTTGGTGCATGGGAGTAAAGAACTTGGGTTTAGGGTTGCAAAAGGTGATTTTTGCAAGTAATATGTAAATGCAGTAAATGCATGGAAACAAAGTGAATCACATGGTCTTATATCTACTTTGGTAGGATCTGTATTTGGCAAAAATATGTAGGATTTTTTTATTTTGGATTTTTGGAGTATGTGATGAAATTCTGGGAAAATGGTGGATGTCTTTTCCTCTTGCCAGCTTTTGTGCAATCTTAACAAGATAATTGTGTAAGTGTAACCTTTTTGGCTTATATTATCAATTAATGATAAGTGATATTTTCTTATTTATGTACTTTTTTATGGTTGTTAACATTAATATCTAAAATTACTATTTCAATTTGATCAATATGCAAAGAAATGAGGTAACAATTCTAGAAAATGCAATCACCATTCATTATATCCAAAATAAATTACATTACAAAGCTTGGGGAGAAATCAAGCCCCATACTAGACTTTTTGGGGGCAAAATCTATCAATCTTCAATATTACCATTCAATACAACCACATTGCCTACCAAAAAGTAGATAATGCCCAAAAAACAAAACTTTCCTCATTTGCCTATTTTCTTAATTCCCCAGCCTTTTAAAACCCTTATTCCCCTCAACAAATAGAACCCAACTCCTAAACAAGAAAAGAGCAAGAAGACTAGCAAGCAAAACAACCATGCTCAAAGAAATTTGGCCACATTTCTTCCATTTCTTTAGCTTCACAACATACACCTTTGTTAGTGTCACTAACATCTACAAATCATTAACTTTCTTCTCCAATGCCTCAAGCTGTTGCTCTCCTTTTTCTTCACAATGCTTCAAAACATTCCTAAGAGCTTTGATCCTTTCCCTTGCATCATCCAAATCAGTATCCAATTATGTCTTACTGTTGTACAACCACAAGATAACCTCTTAACCCTAAAAGAGAAATCTCGATCACACTACACAAAATACTTACATTTTCGCTTTTCGTTATGCAAATGTCAAAAATCACATTTCATTAACAATGAATCAAAACCTAATTTCTATACCAAGCAAAACCCTAGACATTACCACACAATACCTTTGAAATATCTTAACAAAGAAACCCCTAAACAACAAACTAGTTTAAAATCAAATATTAGGGAAGAAATTACTATGGGATCATAGATTGGGCATCCAAAAAACCTCGGACCTGGATTCTTTTCGCTCCAAGACATGATTCTCGGAGCCTTCAAACCACAAAAGCAAAATCGATTTGGTCCCTTGTAATCATACTCATGTCTTCCAAATTCCACCGGTGCTGAAGTCTTAGAGTTGTTGGAACTAGTCATTGAACAAGGAAGTAAATGAAATAGGCGTGAATGTGATAGATTAGAGAAGGAAAGGAGGGAAGGAAACTCAAAACTCTTTGTGCCCTAAGGATCATTTAAATAGATTTGTTTAAATTTTTTGTCTACTTTTTTTTTTTTTTCAAAGCTTTAGTTAACGAGTGAGGCCTACACAGCGGTAGAATTCCCGCTCATGGGTGATCCAAGTTGGACTTGCCAACTTGCCAAAAAAATTTGAGTTAGCATTGACATGTGCATATATGAAAATTAAACATCAACATGTATGACAAAAAATTGTACAAAAAAAATCTTAATTTACGCCGTTTTAATAAATCCATTAAAAAAAAAGACTAAAATACCATAATTTTTAAAATCAGAATATGATTGTTTTAGTATTTTATTATAATACTTTATTAAAAGACATAATTTTAGAGTATTTTTTTACTTAATTTTTTACTACACATGTCAATACTCATTAACCTCATATATATATATATATATATGTATGTATGTAGACGGTATATATATATATGTATGTATGTAGACGGTGCAGAGGCGTGTGCATGTAAGAACAAACCCTAGTAAGCAAATCAAGTAGAGCTGAGATGCATCTTGCTAGCGAGAATATGAATAGAGTGTTGTTCTCAAAATCATCATTTCCTTTTCTTGTCATCTGGTTTAATAAGCTGAACAGGTGCTGCCGTAATCCTTACCCACCATTCTCCCAGCCGTCTGAAAAATCTGTCACTGCTTTCTCTCCTATATGGCAGTTCCCTGGTGAACCCCTCTAGGAATACCAACAGAACTAAGTATCTCAAGGGCACCAAAATTACCACCACCGCCATGAGAAGCAATGCAAGAGCAACCTTGTTAGTGGCCTTGTAGAAAGATAAAGAATGAAACATGAGAGGTATTTAAGTCGCTAGTCAAAGAGCATCAATCTCCAGCAAATATAACTTCCTAAGACAAGTTATAGAATTAGGTTACGACCTATTAAGAAAATAATGCAAGGGAGAAATATAATACTTTGCTACTTGAAATACTTTTAATTCGTCTAATTTTCACTGTTTTTTATTGGCAAAGGAAGATAGTGCTTAGCCATTGGAGGAATTGCTATTACAAGAATTGGAACCCCTGACCTTAATCTCAAAATCAAAATTTTTAAGTTAATGGGTACTAACTCAGCTAAACCCAAATTGGCATATCAATTTTTTATTATTATATAGGGGCTGAATATGCTATCTGGTCAGTGGCCAATGATGCCAACACATAAAGCAAGGGTTTCTACAGCAACATGCAGAACCACTTAACAATGCTTTCAAACTTCATTCAACAAGACAAGGGAGACTAGAATGCCTTACAGAAACGAAATCCTCCAAAACTGTACAGTTGGATTTCCAAGGAGACAAATAAGCCACTAGTGGCTCCAACTTAGACAGTGACGAAAACAACCATTAATTTAAATAAACATTACTGAAAGCCATGAAACTCGACGTTGACGCAAAATTAAACTTCAGAATTTCAATGCACTTTTCTTTCTCTTGTTTTTCTCCTTCTCTTGTCTTTTGGTTCAATTTATATTTCTCTCTATTCTGTGTTCTGGATGTGGATATGTAAGTTAAAGTTGTGCAGACTTTAGTCAAGAAAACTCCAAGAAATAAATAAAAATCTAATCTAGTTTCATGCTTTTATATTGTTGATGCTCATATCTAGTATAATCCAGAATTGCTTCAAGCAAATTCAGCAAAGCTAACTGGCTAAGGCAAGTACCTGTGGTAGCACAGCAAATAGAAGAGAGCTCTTAACTTGAGGAAAATTATATTTGCAGCTTGGATTAGTGCTTCAACTTGAGTGATGGCTTCTTGCAATGTCAGCAGCTGCTCAACTTTCGGTTGGGGGGAGATTTTATTTTAAAGGCTTCTATGGGCTTCCCTCTGTTAAAGAGCCGACGCCAGATCATAAGAACTGCAACGAATACAAAAATGGACGCCACCATATATCCAATCCACCCCCTACACATAAAAGCTAAATGTGTCATTATGTTGCTCCATTTATCTAAGCTACAGCTAAAAGTAACAATTTGGAAATGTGGAAGGAAAAACACTAGTACCCAAACTGCAATCATTGTTTTTGCAACAATAAATATGTGAATGGCAAGGGTAAGGTCATTGAATCTACATCAAAGAAACCAATTTCCAAAATGTTGGATACGATACAGAAAATTCACCAAGGTTATGTTCAGTGCTGTTCCTTACTTCCATGGTTTTTGCATTGCATCAAAATGAAGTAAAATAGAGAGAATATCACCAAGTGGATGGGTTATCCTATGTACCTATTTTCTTTTAAGAAGTTGAGAAAGGGTGCAGTAGCTAGCTATAACCACGTTCTCCCTAGGTTGTAGTTATTCCCACCTCATTCCATTTATAAGTACAACCTTCCCATCCATCATTTTGTTAGTAAAACAGATATTTAAACTCAAGAAAGAATTGGGATCAACTTATACATGTAAGAATAAAGGAACTCTTACACAGGTCTTGTAAAACCAACCATTGAATTGACTGTTCAATTCATTTAGATCATCCACACTAAATTTCACCTTGATTATCCCTAACTATTTCATTTAAAATTTTATACTGTTAAATGCATTTCATAAAAAACAGTTCTTTGATCTAATGGTTATAGACGATAGATCAAATTGAAATTTGGCATGAATGTTCTGCTTAATCCAACAGGTTGATTTTTCAAAATATTAGCTATTTTGAAAATTGGGGATCTATGTAAGAGTTCCTTATTCTTACAGGTGTAAGAATATCCTGGCTTATAATTTCGTTAAGAGAAAGCTTTTGATATTGCTAAAATGAATACAAATAAACACCATATTAAAAAACTCCATTCAACAAGTATCGTATTAATAACAAGAGACTTCAATTTACACACCTCACACACTTTAAGCTTTGCAGCGAAGATGCATTACTTGATTATAGTTGTACGGTACAAACTAGAATAGATAAACATACAAAATAAAGTTGTTCTCCACAGCAAAGGAGCATCTTGATTCTTGAATGATTTATTTTTGAAAATGATTGGTACATCTCCATTTCAACACACTTGCCGATACTCACCAGTTCAGCCATTAAAATCTGCACTTGAAAATTTCCCTGCCTTTAATTCAAATTTGAAAATAATAATCGTTTAATGAGTGTGTTGCAGACTGTGTTAAATCAAATGGCGTACCAATCACTGTCTTTTATTTATTTAAAGATATTGCTGTTTTGGTTTGTTTGTGTGTGCTCCTACTAGCATGCGTTAAAAACTGCATTTGTTCTTTGAAGATGGTATTTCACATGAAGTATAAATTAACAAAGAGAAAACAAAAGAAAAGAGGAGAAAAAACCAAGTCAAAACTGTTAAGTCACTCTGCTCAGAAAAATCAACATATTGGAGCCCATCTAGGTTTGAGTTGCTGAACCTGCCACATCAAATGAAGAATAATATGCTATTGGACAGACAACATTCAACAGGTCAATTGAGACCACCATACTAAGGCAATGTAAATTCTATGACAAATTGACAGCCCTATGGTGAAAGTGCTCTTCTTCTAAAAGGCTAACAAGTGCAAAAAGCATCAGGGAGAATTCCTACCTTATGACTCTTTCTACCTTATGACTCTTTCTTTTTGATGGTCCAAGGATGTGATTATAAAATTGCACACCTGTGCCCATGCTTGTCCCCCAAAAAATGAGAAACAAAAAAGACGCAGCAGAAATTGGTTTCAATAAATTCTTTTTAGGTTTCAGGTTCATAGCATGAAGTAATCAGCTGACCCACAGGGGAAACCAAAATAGCATCCTCCTTGCACCTAAAAGGCAGAAAAATGGAATTTTCTAAAAGGTAGATGCTTGCTCCAAAAGCACCTGTTGAACATTAAGTAGGATCTTACTCACAATTAAAATATTTAGGTCATCCTCCTAGGTGTCCATGTTCATGCATATGGTATTCATGCCTGTCACATGCTAGCATTTTCAGTTGTCATCAATTCGTATTTCTAGGTTTCCAGCATACCATAAGGTAAAAAATTTTAAGCTGTATAACAAATCTTTCTCCACCGTCAAAACTCAATGAGTTTGCATTGGTGGATCAGATATACTATTTTGTATTTTCTAAACCAGATTAGGAATTCCTAGGGTTCCTTCAACAACACTTCAATTTTCACTAGCTGGAAAATTGGATGTTACTAAGTATCTTGCAGCCAGGCCAAGAATTAAAAACACCAAGTACATGTAAGTTACCTTAAAATAGCATGGCTGGTGAACCCCAGAAAGACTGATGACTTAAAAGGGTCTTTCCAAGAAGCTAAAAGTTGAACATGAGCACTTAAGCCAATAGCAGGAAATAATAGTTCCTATATAAAGAGGAAAACAAAAAAATTCGTTATCTTTCAAAAAAATAGATAAACAAAATTTTAAATCTACAAAGGATGTTCTACCGGATAAGACTCGACAAAGAATAAGTTTCAGTAACCAATTATGACAACCAAAGTGGAAGCAGAGGGACAACCTCTAAAAAATTAAAGCCTATTAACGACACATTCATAGATGTTTTGGGAAGGGAAGGAAACTGTTGCTTCTCAAACTATTGCCACAAACCAAATATTTGAATTCTGGAGCTATGATGAGCTCTACTAGGAAAAAGTTAGGCCACTCATCAGAGTTCAATCATTCAAATATTTGCTTACTGCATGTTACATATTACCATTCCAGCAAACTTTAATCCCTTCTTCACTGTGGAATTTTAAGAAGACAAGCATAGGGGAAGGGGCTGCAGAACACTGTAATTCAAAAAACTTTATTGAGGAAAGGGAGAGGCCAAAGGCTATTTAATTGATCAATCAGATTTAAGTTTCCTCTTTCCTACTATGAGAGCAAAATGAACTCAATTTTATGATGAAACCTTCTGCCGAGAAATTGAATTTCAAAATTAAACAATTGTATTATAGTTTTTTTTTTTTTCTGAAAAAAAAAATCCAATCTAATAAGAAACTAACTGTAACAAACCTTCGTGACGGCAAGATTTGTGTCAATTCTGTCCACCTTTACTTGTTCAACTGTTGCCTGTGCAGCTTCAACCCTGAGCATGTTTGATAGTGACTCTTTAACTGCTATCTATAAGGGATTAGTCTCCCCAACACGAATATCTCCCACTGTTAACACTTCACCATCCTGATTCTTATCCTTCTGTACAATAAATCCCAGTTGACCAAGTGTCAGAAGTGAAACTGGAGATAGCTTCCCTGATTATTTGACATTACATGGGGAAGATTTGGGATCTAGAAGCACCAAATAACTAGAAAGAGTTTCCAAAATCATATCTCCTCAGGGAAGACTTTCAGCCAGGTTAAAAGTAAGGTTGGTTTTGTACTGGGATGAGAAGAAGTGGAAAGCTTCCCTAACCGCACGATAACGAAAGATGCCTAATGCAGCTCTTGCAAGTACCTCTGACTGATGAATCCCCCTGAAGTTGTTTTTCCTGATAAACCTGGGAGCATGCAGGATCTCCAAAGATATATCCAACCAATAGTCACGACGTGAGTTGCCCTTGAATTCAGGAAACTCAAAACAAACAGGCTCTACTCTGTAAATGTAAAATGAAACCAGCAGAAACAAGTAAAAATGTTAACATGAGATCATAAATTCAATATGTTACAAAAGTACCATATTACAGTTTTGATGGATATCATACACCATTGTTGATTTGTACATAACAGCTTTATCAAAAAGACGAGCACCCAGCAGTCCAGTCAATTCAGGTTTTATGACCTGCTTGGTGTCTCTTGACAGATCATAGCTAACAGCCTTTTCATATACCCCAACTCCCAATGACTCAGTATAGTGAAAAATTGGTTAGAGTCAGCCAGCCTGCCAATCAGAATTGATGAATATAAACAGTAAAAAGGATTCAATAAGAAAATGAAACCGAATCTTTCAATTATGTTTATAAAAACAAACCAACAGCTTAAAGAATCCAAGAAATCGAAAACCATTTCTTTCAATTGTCAATTTTCTTTTCTATATCAATAATTCCAATTGTACAAACAAGCATAAAAAAGAAACAAAATTGGACCTTCATGACAACTAGCTGAGCCATTCTAATGTGCATGACATAGAACTGAGTCCTGATTATTTAAGACCTAGGTTAACTTCAATTAGTTTTTCTTTTCTTTTTTTTCTTTTTTTTTTTTTATAATTTTAAGGCTATGTGATGCAGGGAAGGTAGGGGTAGAACAAACAAAAACTAAGAACTCCGTAAAATTAAAGATGGAACCAAGAAAACTTAGGTTTCAATCTTAAGTTTATTCTCAAGCTAAAATCTCATAACAAAAGCTGATTTAGAGATCTAAAGATAACTATATATAATTATATACTAACAGCAGCCAAGAATCCTAATCCAGTACTAATTTGAACTTCTAGTAACCTACTAATTCTAGTCCTAATTAGAAATCACAAGTTATCCACATGACTTTCCTACAATTAAAACTTAGACTCCAAACAAAACTCAAACTAAAACAAGTAATTAAAAAAAAACTTCATGCTCCTGCATCATTCTCCCTGGGTTGGAAATTTAACTTGGTTCAAATGGAAAGACTTTATCTGGACCAATTTTTCTGAATTTTCCTTCTGCAATCCAGGTGCTGTCAAATGTATATTTATCTGGAGCAGTTTTCTTCCATGAAGTCCTCCAAAAATATCCCTTAAACTTTACACCCCTATAACAAACAATGGATGTTGGAATACAATGTAGTCTCACCACCTCTTCCAGAAATAAATCAACAACTTGTGTGGCATCTGAGATTTTAGAACAAGCAAAGAAGTCTGCCATTTTTGTGTATAATTCAATCTTGTTGGTAGGCAGATTAGTTAAACATGCTGCTGGAATAAAATCAAAGGCCTGTTGAAAATTCAACATTGGAAGCATCCCTTCTGGTAGTTCCTTATTTCTGACCCTTTAATATCTTCTAATAGCTGCAGATTTTCATTAGGTTGCATAGAATTTTCTCCATTTTGTTCTTCTCCCGACAGCTTATTTAGAACAGCATATATGACTCTTGCCTCTTGCCTTTTAGCTTCAAATTTCTCAGCAAATGTGTAACCAATTATCTTGCTGTCAGCTAGAGATTTTTTTTCTTGGTTGTCTTCCCTTAAAGAATGACTCCTGCAATCTTGTCCTTCTTCCTTAGTTATTGCCATCATTCCTTGAATCATTAAAGATTCTTCCTGAATTGAAAGAAAGTCCACTTCTTCAATTTCATCACAATAAACATCATAAACTGGTTCTAACATGTCACCTCCTTCCTCTTCAAACAAGTCAAGGGCATGTATCAACTGCTATTCCAATCCACCTCTTACCACTTGATTT